GGGGGGGTGAAAACGCTCAAGACGAATTCAGACTCTAAATAATGCTATAGTCTACTCTTTTTTTTAAATGAATAATGCCCAAACGTTCTTTGTCTCCCCATACCAAATGATATAACTTTTCCTCCAAGTTACCAAATTAAAGATAGAAAGCTCCGCTGGTTTCGCAAACCAAGTAAAATATTCCACTAAAGTACAAGTAGATACATAGGTCTCCGACAAGGTGCTGGACTTTTGGAAACGTAAAACATAGGCCTACGCTTAATATAAAAAACCCCCCATGAAATTCATATTCCTCCTTCCTAGGCCTTCTCAGTTCCACTTAACCCCGTACGTCTCAAAGGAACGAGATAAATCCTTGAACTAAACAACGCGTATAACTTTAAAGAAAAAGGTAAAATAATTTCAATTTCATGATTTTATGACACGTCTACACATAAACGAGCAACAACAGAAAAATGTTGTACATGCAAATGCAATATCAAGAGATTTTTTGAGAACACTGCAAACTGCTCTAGATACAATGAGTTACCTGTCTCTATCACTAAAGCAGCATGGACAAAAAAGGTGAAGAAAAAAAGAGTAATAAATTAGTATGTAATCGTCAGGGAAGCGAAACGTGAGGTCTATCTATGTCTACGGCAGGGCCGCACGCTTATTGTCTATTGTCACAAGACATTCATTCAATGCTTCTTAATCAAATTTTTTTGGGTTTTTAATCCAAAAGTAGCTTTGGGTGTTAACTATTAGATCTTAGGGTAGTGGGTACATTTTCCTAAGGAAAAGGAAAAAAATCAGTTGGCGGTGAAGGGAATTGTGTGATAAAGTAGGCTATAAAGACTAAGGAGTAGAAACTTAGAAACTAATCCAGAAGCACTGAAAGAGAAGTCTACTTCTCTGCAGAGAACACTTAAAAACGATATCTAGAAAACGAAAGTTCCACAACTACTTGTCTTTTATACCAGATATTTGCATTTGCATCACAGAATTCTAGTGTAGAATTCTGTGATTTGCATCCATCAGGCGAACTGTATATAGACTCTTTCCAGACCAGCAAAGCATTTTCAATACTTCTTGCAAAAGACAAGTTAGGATCCATTTGGTTAAGTCTATTCCAACTCTTTAAGTTTAAGGACGAAACGGAAACATACGACCGACCAGCAACAGGCAGACCAAAGGCAATGTTGCAGCACATTTCGATCCATCATGCGCAAATCAGAGACATGAATTTGCACAGAGCATGTTTTTGTCGGGCTCATTACAGTCCCAGACAAAGTTAACAGAATGGAAAAATCTGCATGAATAATAATATAATATTATTATGTCTCTTTTCGAGGTACTCTAAAACAGTGTGTCCTCAAGTAAACAATATGCCTTCTGTACGTCTATCTGTCGGCATACTGTACATCTAACCCCAATCCGGGTTGACCCGGATAGTCGGAGTCGAAGAGGCCCAACCTCCTTATAAATTATATTATAAACTGTGACGATGGGGGTGTACAATATATTACAACCAGAGAAGGCCATAGCGTAGCGAGGCAGCGGGCCTTTGTTTATCTACGCTTTATTTTATTCCAAGCGTAAAAATTACATAATTACGCACGAGTTTGTAGGCCTATGTAGGGATAAATGCTGCCCGTAATAACAGGCCGGTGCTTTTAGAATACGGTGGATAATAACTGACAGCAGATTGGTACCAGAAAAAAAAAGTATAGGTCAATCCAAACAAACTAGTGAGGCTGAATGGGTGCTTTGAGACACATGGAGCATAAGAGCTTAACTGGAATGATTACTTCCTAAGAAACAGGCTTGAGTACTGGTAATAATATACATGTACCGGGTAGGTCTAGGCCTACTCTAATAGCAGCAACACAAAATGAATCACCCTAAGAAAAACACGGCGAGAGATTAATTATAGTATGCGGTTAATAAATACTAATGTAAAAAACGAAGTATAAGTCATTCGAGAATATATGTATACAAATATAAAAAACATACGAATAGTATACCCTTGAAATTTTGGAATAACGTACATATCATAACACGTACGTAGGCTCTACTATTGGCTGTGATGTTCACTTTCTGGTCCCAGACTAAAAGTTCAAAATCTTGGATCCGTAGATGTAGGGAGTATGTTAAAATTATGCCGAGATTTTACTCTCTTTCTGTGTGTGTGTGTGAGTATGTGTGTGTGTGAGTATGTGTGTGTGTGTATGTGCGGGTGTGTGTGTGTGTGTGTGTGTGTGTGTGTGTGTGTAT